CTGAAGAAGGGTCTAGGCCCGAAACGTCAGCTTTCCTGCTGCTCAGATGCTGCTTGGCCTGCTGTGTTCATCCATTTCTACACCTTGTTATCTCTTTGCAATGATGATACCTGGGCTTCAGGGTTTAAATTATGAGATTAGACAAATTAGGCCTTTAACCTTCTAAATTCTCGAGAATAAAGTGTGATCAAATTGAGATTTTCAGGATATTAACAGGGAAATACAGGGTAGATTTGGATAAACTATTTTCACTGATTGAAGATCCTAGAACCAGGGGACATAATCTAAGAATTAGGGCCTGGCCATTCAGGAGAGATTTTGGAAACAAATTCTACATGCGAAGAGTAATGGAGGTTTGGAACTCTCTTCCTCAAACAGTAGTCAATGCTAATTCAGTTGTTAAATTAAAATCTGAGATAGACAATCTTTTATTAATCAAGGGTATTAAGTGGTATGGACCCAAAATAAGGCATATGGAGTTAGGCAACAGAGCAGTCATGTTCTTATTGAATGGCGGAGAAGTCTCAAGGGGCTGAATGGTCGACTGTTCTTCCTGTGTTCCTATATGTGTGGGAGTACGTCAGTGTTTGTAGATGTCCACCTGTGCTGAAGTTTAAGAATCATTCGTATGACCACAACATTAGTAGTACTGTTAAATATGTTTAAAAATTAATTTGTCATGCCAAATGATCAATTGATCGAAAGGTGCCAAAGAGTGGGATAAACAGAGTAACTTCCTTGTAAATCCTATTGCAAGAGCTATAAAGCAATTTGGGGTATAAAGGCTAACAGCAGTTAGGTTGTGTTGTGTGGACCTTGAATACAATTTATACAATAAAGTTATAGTGATTTTAATGATACAGTGATACTAGTACATGCAGTTTTGGTCATCTATTATAGAAAGATAATTAAAGTCACTATGTACGTGCCATAGGTAGGAACCAAGGTTGAGAAGCATTATTTATGAAAGAAAAAGAACTTGAAATACTGGGACAATTTCTTTACAGTGATGAAGACTACAATTTTTTTTAAATTGTGAGGAATTTTGATAAGGTGTAAAGAGAAAGATACTTTTTCTTGTTCGTGAGTCACTAATAAATTGACACCAATTTCACATCGGCACCCTAAGTGAGGAGAGAGGTTTGAAGAAATGTTTTTGCTTGGATGGCTATTGAACATGAAATGCTTAAAAGAGTTGTCACGTTAAGAGAAACTTGAATAAATATTTAGTGGTTGGGGTAATGATGAAGCTGACTGCTTTCCCCTAGAAGGTGTCCAAACTGCTTCATATTGTTCACGATGCATTCATTGTGGCAAGTGGAGAATTTGTCACCATATTTCTGACTTGTGCCTTTTAGGTGGTGCAGTGACTTTGGAGAGTCAGAAGCTGAATTACTTCAAAATTCCCAGCATCTGACCAGCACTTGCAGCCACCTTTATGTGGCTGTTCCTGTAATTTTACCCTCAGGATGTTAATGGTGTTGCTGAAGAATATCAGGAGGAAAAGTTTAGATTCTATCCTGTTGGAGATGGTCATCTCTTGGCACTTGTGTGGCACAAATATCGCTTGTTACTATCAGCTTGCGCCTGAACATTGTCCAGTTCTAACTGCTTGCAGGTACTGTCTGTTTCGGTGTCTGAGGAATTGCAAATGATTTATGGCAATCATTTGCAAACAACTCCACTTTTGACTATCTGTTGGAGAGGGGGTCTTTGCTGAAGCATCTGATGATTGTTGGGAGCACAACACTATCCTAACTCAGTAATATTTTAGGTGTGAGATGATTGACTTCCAATGATCGCAACCATCTTCTTTTATGTTAGATGCAGCTCCAAGTAATGGGTAATTTGCCCCCCGTTTCCATTGACTTCAATTTTCCAAGTCTTCCTTGAATGCATTAAAGTGCAGTCTTGATGAGTAGTCGTCATACTTTACCTCCGGAATTTAGTTCTTTTGTCTATGTTTTGAATACGCCGTGGGTGAGTGTGAAGTTATGCACGTTGGTAGAAAGAATAGAGGCACAGACTATCTTCTAAATGGGGAAAAGTTTCAGAAATCTGAAGCGCAAAGAGACTTAGGAGTCCTAGTTCAAGATTCTGTTAAGGTTAACGTGCAGGTTCAGTTGGCATTTAAGAAGGCAAATACAGTATTAACATTCATTTGGGAATCTGTGGCAGCGTTGACCACAGACAGCAGAGCGAGATAAGTGGAGGACTTTTCAAAGGTTGTTGAACTTTTAACTTATTCCTTTATTTTCCTAGGTTAAACTACAAAAGACTTTAATGTAAACTATTACCCATTTCTTTATTTTCTGTTATTCAATGAAATAATGCTTAACTTTTTAACCCTCATTTCTCTCACTACTTTGCACTTAAGCTTTTTTTATACTTAGGTAACTTGGTACCTAAGATGGGACCATTAGTGGTTACATTATACACTGTTTACTGTACTCTTGTACTTCTGTACTTGAGTACATGTGACAATTAAATCTAAAATTAAAATAAAAGATTAAATTAATTAAAACTTCAAGAGGGCTAAAATACAAGAGCAGAGACGTGCTGCTGATGTTGCATAAAGTTCCTGTCGGACCGCATTTGGAATATTATGAACTATTTTTAGCTCTATATCTAAGGAAGGATGTGCGTGAGCAATTTTTAGCCCTGTATCTAAGCAAGGATGAGGGGTTCTAGAGGAGGTTTGCAAGAATGATCCTGAGTATGAAGGGCTTGCCATGTGAGGAGCGGGTTGAGGACTCTAGATCTGTACTCAATAGAGTTTAGAAGGATGAGGGGGGAGATCCGATTGAAATTTACAGAATACTGAGAGGCTAGATAGAGTGGATGTGGAGAAGATGTTTTCAGTAGTAGTTTGCCACATGGGGCTGTGGAGGCCAAGTCATCGAGTGTATTTAAGACAGAGATAGATAGGTTCTTGATTAGTAAGAGGATCAAGGGTTACAGGGAGAAGGCAGGAAAATGGGGTTGAGAACCATATCAGCCATGATCAAATGGTGGAACAAACATGATGGGCTGAATGGCCTAATTCTGCTCCTGTATCTTGTGGTCTTATAGTTTGTATCAAGTGAAACTGAAATTTGCTTTAGTATCAGTATGGAAGTGCTGGTATAGGACTGGGTGGACAAAGTCAGAAGTCACATGACACCAGGTTATTGTTCAACAGGTTTATTTGAAATCACGAGCTTATAAAGCGCTGCTGCTTTGTCAGGTGAAGTCATACTGAAAGCGATTTCAAATAAACCTGTTGAATTATAAACTGGTATCGTGTGATTTCTGGCAAGGTCCCAGACGACTATAGTGCGTTCGCTTATTAGAGAGAGGTAAAGATGTAATGAGGTCTGGAACTAAGTCACCCTGGACAAGCCCAAATTGAGCATCAGTAAGTAGGTTATTGCTGAGTAAGTGATGCTTTATAGCACTGTCGCCAAAATCTTCTATCAGTTGCCGTTGTTTGAGGGTAGACTAATTGTGCTGTAATTGACTGTAGTGAATATTTCTTGGTTTTTGTGGACAGGATGTGCCTTGGCAATATTCCACATTGTTAGGTTGGTTCCCATATCGTAGTTTCTTCTGTCTTTCCTCCTCTGCACTCTCCTCCCTTTTTCCTCTCTCTCTTTCCTTCTTTCCCCTTTACTTCTCCCTCTGTTTCATAACTTTGTTTCCTTTCATCTTTTCTCTTTTTCAATCTCACAGTCACAGTCTCTACAGCCACTTCCTTCTCCTCTTTCTCTCCACTTACCTTTATCCCCCTTTTGTTTTCTCCTTTATTCAGTTTTCTCTCCCCCAATCAGTCGATGGTTAGATTGTGAAAAGCAGTGTTTGGAGAAGAGATGAGGGTTTCAGAGTTATTTCTGTGTGGGTGGGGGAGCCATTAGGTGAATTACTTGCTCAGGTTAGAGGCACAGAGTTGTTGATAACAAACAAATTGGACTACCATTTTGATATTGATGATGAATAATATTTCTTTGTGTTTTTTATAGATTCTTTTCCACTTGATCCTATCACAGAAAATTATGTACGTCAAGTGAGGGATTGTATTTTTTCAGCAGTTCATCCAGAACCTTTCAACTCAGCAGTCAAGCTGGTCGCAGTTTCAAAGGTTAGCACATAGTCTTCAATAACAGTGGTCTCTGTGTTGAATCAATATGTCACTTAAATTATTAATTAATTTGTTGTATTAATGCTATCTGTTTCCTGAATAAAACTGGATGTTTAAGTTGTGTTTTTTATAAACTTAGCATGGATGTAAAATTAAAATCACTATTTTGCAAATACTCTTTTCTTAATTCTTATTTTTATGTCTAATGTGTTTGTCTTGTTAGGACTGAGGTTGGAGGGGTACATAGCTTTCTTTTTAGTACCATTTCTCAACTAGTTACCAAAAAAGAACATATTTAACCGGTTGATGATTTTTAAAAATTATTGATTCGGGGAATGTAGGCATCGCTGGCCAGGCCACTGTTTATTCGCATCACTAATTTGCTTGAGAAGGTGAACTGTCTTCTTGAACTATTACAGTCCATTTAGTGTAGCTTCACCCACAATACTGTTAGGGAGAGAGTTCCAGGAGCTTGACTCAGTGTCAGTAAAATGATACAGTTCCATCTTCCAATAAGTTCTGAAGAAAGGAGTTATGTCAGACATGGAATATTAACTGTTTCTCTCTCCACAGATGCTGCCAGACCTGCTGAGCTTCTCCAGCATTCTTTGGCTTTGCTTCAGATTTCCAGCATCTTCAGCATTTTGCTTTAATATGATATAGTTCCATGTTGGGATGGTGTGTGGTTTCGAATCTCAGAATCACAGAATTGCAAAAGGAGTCTATCGCGTCTGCTTTGGCTCTCTGAGCATTTGAATTTAGTACTGATCTCCTGCCTTTTCCTCACAATTCTGAACTTTATTTCTATTTAAGTAATCATCCAATGCCCACCTAAATGCCTTAATTAGGCACCACAGGCCCATAGAGGGGAACCTTTCGATGGTAGTGGTCCGTGTACCTGCTACCCCTTATCTGCCTAGATGCCATGGGTTTGGTAGGTGCTGTCTATGGAGCCTCGGCTAATTTCTGCAGTACATCTTGTAAGTGGTATACAGTGTTGCCACTGTGTCTGTAAAAAGTTAATGTTTGTGCATATGGTATTAATCAAGTGGGTTGATTGTCCTGGATGGTGTCAAGCATCTTCTTCAGTGTTGTTGGAGCTGCACGAATCCAGGCAAATGGGGAATATTCCATCACTTGTGGTTTATGCCTTGTAGATAATGAACAGATTTTTGGGAGGCAGGAGCTGAATTATTTGCTGCAGGATTCCTAACGTCTGACCTATTCTTGTAACAATAGTATCTATATGGCTAGTCCAGTCATGTTTTGTCAATGGTACCCCCACAATGTTGGTAGTGGTGGGTTTAGCAATGGTAACACTATTGAATGTCAAGAGAAGTTGGTTAGATTCTCTCTTGTTGGAGACAATTATTGACTGACACTTGTATGGCACAACAGTAACTTGCTACTTGCCAGTCTAAGCCTGGATGTTGTCCAGGTTTTGCTACATTTGAATACAGACAACTTCAGTATCTGAGGAATCAAGAACAGTTTTGAACATTGTGCAATCATCAGTGAACATTCCCACTTCTGACCTTGTGTTGGGGGAAAGATCATTGATGAAACAGATGAAGATGGTTAAATTGTTCTGAGGAAGGGTCACTCGACCCAAAATGTTAATTTTGATTCCTGTCCACAGATGCCTCCAGATCTGCTGAGCTTTTCCAGCAATTTCTATTTTTGTTCCTGATTTACAGCATTCACAGTTCTTTCGACCCTCCTCGATTGAGTTGTTTAATTGGCCACAACCATTCATGTTTGCATGTGGCAGGATAGCACAGCTTGGATCTGATTTGTAATGGTCAATTACTTAAGCCTTAGTGTAGTCTGGTCTGGGTCAGCATTAGAAACGATTCAGTCAAGTTTCTTTAGTCAACAAAGAGTAACTTTTTTATTTTAATTAAAACTTAAACAAACATGTCAAGGTTATTAACAAACATGGTTAGACTATGAAGATAGATATAACTTAGATTGTAACATTCCTGAATTAACATGAGGCAAATATAGGTAACACACTGTGGTCCAATACATCAAATGGTAAACGTGATCATGACAGGCTCCACAGATTTCTTAGCAAACCTCCCCCGCCCCTGACGGCCCCATTCCAGCAGCCATTAGTGATGCAGTGGGTCACAAATCTCATGAAAATGTCATAATGGATTCTAATTACTCATCTTCGATGACTTGGTGTTGAAACTTTCTCAAAAACTGCTCCTTTATACGGGACTGTGTTCCCCTGGATTTCAAAAACTGCAGTACTGTACCTACAGGCATAGCTCCAGTATGTTCACAGACAGCAGTCTTCACCAAACCAGTATTGCTCTTAGATTTTTTGCCTGAGTTGAATTCTTGATCAGTTGCAAAAAGCTTGTGGGTTTCCTTCACCCTCACTCCCGTAGCTCCTGAAATTTTTCTTGAGCTCTAACCCCAACAGTTTGCTGTATCTACTGATTTCTAGAGCCTCTCCCTGTGTTCTGATTATGCAGCATGCCATTTCAGCAGTCCAGTTAAACTGTTCATTTCTGCATGGAGTGAGCTTCTGTCTCTGTCTGTCTCTAATTCCAATTGATTGTGACCCAGAAATTGTCCCTAAGTGACCCCTGAGATTTTTTTTCGATTGAATTCGTATTTCATGATCTGCCACGGTGGGATTTGAACCCATGGCCATGGAAAATTAGTCTGGGGTTCTGGATTGCTAGCTTAGTGACATACATCACCACCTCCCCTGTCTGAGTTTCTCAATCAGGGATAATCTAAATGCAAAGGGAAAATTAATACTCCCAAATTGTGAATTAATGAGATGCAAATACGTGCAAATAGGCTTCCACCATCTGTGTCTTATAATTTAAGGAAGGAGAGTGTATTTGCAGTAGTTTCACTTGATGGTGAGAATCTGATTTTTTGACTCTTGCCCAATCAAACCATTGCATTTATTCTCACCACTTCAGGTAAAGGAAGATCACAGCCATCATGTTCACATCTGTCGATCTACACTTGCTGCTCACCAACCTTATTTTTATTTACCAAATTTGACACATTCATGTATGTACAAAATAACCCTTGTTTAAACATTATTACATTTCCTCTTACACTGTCCTCAAGAAAATCTCATCTTCTTACTGCAGTGCTATCTGTCTTTCCCAATCCTTCATGCACCTTGCTGTTCCCTTGCTAATCTTAAATCCTGCTTCCCAACCCAATCTAAATTAGTTTAAACCCTTCACTAGCAAAATGCCTTGCAAAGATATTGGTCCCACCTGTACTCAGATACAACCTATGTTACCTATATAGATCTCAACTGCCTTAGAATGGGTTCCAGTATCTTAAGAATCTAAAGACCTATCTGCTGCATCATCAAACCATCATGCATTCATCTGGTCTGTTCTAATTTCTATATTTAATAACACCTAGCATGCAGAGTAATTTGGGAGATTATTGCCTTTGAGGTCAGGCTTGCTAGTTTATTTTCGAGCTCCCTAAAATCTGCCTGTAGGATCTTTTACCTGTGTTGATGGTACTGATTTGTACTACAACATCTAGTTGTTCACGCTTCTCCCTCAGAGTTTCATGCAGCCGCTAAGTAAAATCCTTGGCTCTAGCAACAGGGAGGCGTCATGCCATCCTATATTTACTTCTGACACCACAGAAATACTTCACTCTCTCTCCTGCTAAATATCAAACTGTCAATCATTATTGCTTTCCCAGTCTTCCTCCTGCCCACAGCTGGGCCAGCCTCAGTGTCACAGATTTGTCTGTACACAACCTACCATTCTCAACTGTGTTCAGAACTAAATACTGGTTAGAGAGCAAGACGGGTTCATGTTACTCTGGCACTACCTGCCTGATCCTCCATGAGTGCCTTTTGAACACCCATTTTCTCTCTACCTGCTAAGTTGCGGAGTGACCACATTAATAATGTGCTATCCATAAGTCTTTCAATCCTGCAGATCCAACACAATTGATGCCGATTATTGGTCAAGCTCTAAAACCTTGAACAGCCCTAGCTGATGACACTACCTAAACACATCACTTCCAGGAAAAGGGCAGCATCCTGGTGGTTCCCACATGGAGCATGATTTGCCCTGTTAAGGACCATGATCCTCTTCCATGCCTCAATTTAATAGCTTATTAAACTAAAGAATTACACTCACCAGACAGTTGCTTCTGATGCAAACTAATTATTCAATGTCCACCATTTACTTACTTTCATTGTCACTGTTATGAGTTTTAAAAAGACCTACATTGTACTTAACAATTTTCGTGATGTTATACAGTTGCAAACATGACCTTTCATGCCCTTGAGCCTGTTCCATCATTCGATTTAGATAATGGGTGAACTGTATCTTAACTTAATTTGCTCATCTTGGTTTTATATTTTCAACTAAGCTCAACAATGTTTTGCAACAAAATGCTTTCCTGATATTACCCATTGTTGGGTTCACTCTAATTTGAAGATTTGCCTCCTCCTCTGGAAACTCCCTTAAAGGAAAATTTTCTCTCTGGCTGTCTTATGGCATCCTTTTATGCCATTATCTTAAACACAGCATTTGATAATGCACATAACTGTATATACCCAATTACACACAACATTATGGAATCTGTCTTTGTTATAAAGCAGAGGTTAAACCTCTTCTGAGAACTAAAACCGAAACACCCAAATAGGAGCACCTCGCCATATAATCCGTAAAAGGAGTGTGAAATGTGGTGTAGCCTGCCTTTTAGCAACTTATAGAGATTAAATAAAATAAACCCCTGACACTCACTTTACAATGAACAGTTAAAAATTTATTTATCTAACTCTAACAGTGAACAAGTTAACTAAAGTATTAACAAACTACATAAGTCCCTTCTAAATACTAACTATTCCTGACTAAAACAAGATCCTAACGGTATGCTCTTCCAATAAATAAAGTCCCACTTATATAAATAACAAAAAATAGAATTTAGTCTCTCAAAATTACAGCCAGGTTACGTGTCTTCCAGAATGTTCTATGAAGAATGCCTTCTCCGTCAATACTTCTGTCAGGAATCTTAACTAGTTGTGCCATTGGTAGCTTTGATTTAGGCGGTGTTTTCTCTAAGACTTAGAGAAAACTGTGAGAGCCAACAATATTCTCTTGAGAGCCGAGAGCTGTTAACTCTGGCAGATGGTAGTTCGATCTCCTGTCTTTGTCCAACTTCCCTCTTTTATACCCTTGATGACATATCAATTTCTTACAATAGGATTGGCCCTATGTTGTCAAAACGATCAGATTTAAATTTAATTGGTTTTTGATATCTAAGTACCTGGTTCAAATTGATTGGATAAATTCAAAACTTGTCACCTTGACAAGAAGAACAAAACTGCTGCTTGGCCTGCTAACTGTATGGCCTTTTGATACAAATGTTTCAGTTTGTGTGCTCTCTGTGCTCTTACAAACTTTCAAGTTGCTCACAGACATCCTTTTTTAAAATTCTAAGCTTGGAAACAGCACATCATCTTTTAAAGGGATCACGCATTGCTTTTCCCCCAGCATTTTACAAACACCAAATTCTAATTTTCTGCCTCCCAAACCATAGGTACTCTACCCAACTTTGCAACAGTCCTCATAATGTAACTTATCATTCCATTAAACTTGTAGTGTATCATCTCCAAAAGCATTATTATTTATGCTGAGCTTTGTAGCCCAGAACTGCATATGATACTCCAGGTTCATTCTGTATACCTGTAGCAGGACTTCCATCCCTTTTTCATTTTAGTCCTCATGAAATTAAGATTAATATTCCTTTGGTCTTTTTATTGCTTCTTCTACCTGTCTACTCGTGCTTCTGTGATTTCTGCACTTGGATGCTTAACTCACTCCTTCTGAAGGCACGAATCAGTTTTAGATTTTATTGGCCCTGGTGGTCCTGTCTTTTCTTATTCAAGTTTTGACTCTTGTGTAAGACAGTGATTAGCATTTTCGAGCATAAGTAAGTGAACATCAATACAGAATGGAAAACTTGGCTAATTTTTATTTTTCTGTTTCTTGTTTCTTCTCTCAAGATTAATTTCCCAGGGCTTCTGAGACAACTCCTAAATGTTTCATTCCTGGCACAATCTCAGCATTTATCAAATAACTGATGTCCTGCAGAATTTCTCTAAGCTGTAATCTTTCTCAGCTGCATCATGTAAATACTGCTTGTGGACTTCCTTCACCCTATTGCACTGAACTACCAGTGACCCCCAAGATTTCTTTTTCACTGAACCTTTTTCCACTGCACAGTCATCATTTCTTGGGATTTTCCCTGAGTCTTAACTGCTTGCAGTCTGCTAACAGTGGCACTTGTTGTAACTGGTGCTACTTCTACTGTTTCAGAACTCTCCTAGCTCTAAACTACAATTAACTTCTCCCAGGAAACATGTATCCAGGTAAATTGAAACTAAACAATCTTCTTAAGTTCCACCCATCTCCATGATGATGTGGCCTCCTCTGAGCTATCCTTAATCTAATTTTCAGACTATGTCAGACTAAGGGGAATCAGATAATCAGTGTGGTGGGAGATTGTGATGTGTGAACTAGAAATGAAACACTGTCAGGAAGCATTTTAAACTTTCTTCGAAGTATCAGTACTGCAAGCAATGTTAACACTGTAGGCAGAATGTCTCCAGCCACTGGACAACATTGGCAAAGGCAAGTCAATTGAGAAAATATGGCAAGATTGGAAAAATGAAATTCTCCACACCAGGAAGAATAAGTCCAATTTTGAACCTCGGGTTTGAATGGTGAGTTATAAATCTCTCTGGTAAACACAGAGAGTCCAATTTATGTGCATTAAATCTAATTATTACATATTCTTGCTTCATTTTTATATAATTTGCTATTCTCCAACATGATGGCTAGAAACTAGACAGCTACAATTCTGGAAATAAAAGTTGGAATGGGTACCTGATGGCTCCAGCTTATCGCTTGCTCTTCAGGGCTTCCATCTTGGGTAGCAATCAATCATAGCCTTCATCTGCAGAGATTGACATGGGACCTTCTTCAGGTCATTATGGCACATTTCTGACTCCCATAAGAGTACAGTTACACACTTCAGTGCTGCACTTCAGAGTGCACTGATGCCTTTCAATATATTACTTTGACGGGCCATTTTGGTGCAAGAAGAAGCATGCTTTTCATGTGTCGGAGCAACGTGCAACTCCGGGCTTTTTACTTCTTAGCGCATATTCACTCTGTGCCTTGTTGGATGCTCACTCCAATTTTGCCTTGCCTTGCCTTTTTGCCACCTCATTCAGAATTTACAGCACAGAACTTTTGTCTTGCCTTTTGGCTCCGAGCCAAAGCTAAACAGCTGGTCATGGTTGTCAGCAGTATTCAGTCAAGAGAGTAAGACTTGTTGCTGTATGGCACCGTACTACATCAATGTCACACCAATAGCATGTGCCAGCAGCTCATGTGTGCAAAGACACTGACATTTGGTTGAACCACATACAACGTGTCAAAGTCTCAGGGGAGTTGTCTACGGTCAAATCAAGGGAACTGTAGACAGTCAGCGGTTCAAGCCACAGTTAGTCAAGGCAGTGTCCAAACTCAATCCAGGGACTTTGCACAGTCAGACAGACCCTTAGGATGTTGAGGTTTAGCAGTTCTGTACCATTACAGGCTGGGGAGTGGCCCAAAGTCAGTCCTGAAAAATGACAAAATGTTCTGATATGCTGGGCATTAGGAAAATTGTAGCGCTCCCTTAGACAGGGTTCTAACGTGGTATGGCACTAGAAGCGGGGAGCTAGTGTAGCTTCAGTCTTGACCCCTATTGCACACACCATAAACTGAAACAGGGATGTTTCTGTTCCATGTGATTCAGTAACATAAATTTCACTTTGCTATTGGGAAAATAATAAATATCTAATTTATAAAATTCCAGTCTTCTGATCTATAACCCAGAATATCGATTGATATTGTTTTGTTATGACATCGAACATTTTATAAAAGCCTTAAACAGGAGATAAAATCATCTCGTTATCATGGTTCAGGATATCACTCTTCAAGTATGTTCCATTTGAAAAATATAATCTGTTTTCCTCTTTCTTTGAAATAATTATTGAGGACACTGAAGAACTTTTGAAGTATAATCCACAGAATCATGTACATTTGTCATATAATACAGGTTTTGTTTGTACTCTTTGTACACAGGGAGGGATGGTATATTTTAAAAAGGAAATAATTTGTAGTTTTGCAGGTTAAAACTGCTTAGTGACACAGGGGATACAATATTGAATGAATCAAACTGCATTGCTGTTACTGAATGCAGAAATTTGAAGTTGATTAACACTGTTGATTTGAAAGGAAGAACAATTGATTCCAGTCACACATGTCTTGGACCTTTTGAACAGTGCTGTAACACTATTTGATTCAGTTCTGCTCATGCCTTTTGCAAAAGCAACTTCGGGAGATTGTGTGTGCAGTTCTGATACAGGCCTTTATTTCACTTCATAGATCATAAATGTGACTGGCTACAAATTATAATAAATCTAATAATAGCACTGTGGGTGCACCTACATCACATAGACTGCATGCAACGGCTCACAAAGGCAGCTCGTCACCAACTTCTTAAAGGAAATTAGGGATGGGCAATGACTGTTGGCTTAGACAGGGACACCAACATCCAGTGAACAAATAAAAAATAGTCTTATTATGAATAATTTTAGTTGATCTGCTTTCAAAATCACCCTGTTCAGAGATGTTATAACAGACCTCAGCAGCAAAATGGACTTGAACCTGGGCTTCCTGGTCCAGGGGTAGGGACACTACTGCTATGCCACAAGGGACCTTTAATTAGGATAAGAATATTTAACTTCTCAATTAATTTCAGCTTAACTCATTTAAAGTGGTTTACTAAACTTATGTCTGTAACTAGATTTTTAAGAATTGATCTGAAATATGTGGTTCTATCATGTGTAGTAACAATCATTAATATATTTTTTTAAATCAGGAGGTTGTGGAAGACCTATTGGACTTAGATCTGTCTATAACAGAGACCAAGGAATTTATTCAGTTTGTTAGTGGTGCGCAAATTCTGGCTGGATCTGTACCTCTCACTCATAGATACGGTGGTCATCAGGTAAAGTAGGAATATGTTATGAAGTCATTGAAAAGAATTTACCCTATTATTGTACTTGTATTCCTTTTCTTTTTGATCAAGTAAAATGATTCAATGGTTTACAAGGCGAGCAGTGATGATGCTTAAAAATGAAAGTTCACAATATGACAGCATTTTTATCAAGTAAGATAAAGCAGGCAGATGAAAGGGGATTGTGAGAACTTTATAAATCTCACCAATGTGCTGCAGTTTCAAAATAAGAGTAAACAGTGTAAGATCTGTATTAGCTAAATCTTGGTGGTTAGTTTAACCCACTTTAGTGCTGTTAAGTTCAGTTGTCCTTGTGTGTTAAGTATTGAAGTATTAATAATCTTTTAGTTACAGTTTTCTGTTAGTTTTTCTCAGTCAGTTGGCTGACTCAAACAGGTTTGACAGAAATCATGGAGCAGGTTACCACTGTGTCTTGGTCAGGAAAATACACATAAATGGTAAAGTCTAAAGAGAGGGTGAAGTTAAAATTAAAGTTAAATCAAGGTTGGAGGTATGTAATTTTGTATAGATTACAAAGTAAAACATTCAGCAGTTTGGATAATAGCACGATAGTTAAATCTTATTTCATTAAGACATTTTCAGTATTATCTGAAACAGGTTCTGTTTGCATATGGATAATTTGCAAAGACATTGGGTATTCTTGAAGCCTCGTGAAATGTGGAAATAAACATTGGTCTAGAATAAACTTCTGCAGTTAGGGTAATTTATGGTGATTATGATTAAATATCTCTTTTTCCGGCATTATGTGTAGCAGCATTACTTTCCTGACTATTGAAAAGCTATTCAATCTGTTTCTCTGAGTGGAAGTTTACTACAAACATGAATCTGAAAATGAGAAAGAAAATTTCGATGTTGCAGCATTAAGAAAATGGAAATCACAGGAGGAATATTTTAAATAGATATCATTTCGATAGGAAATATATAATTACTCTCTAAATTATTTCTTCATACTAATGGGTATAATTGTTAAGGTTGTCCATGTTCTTAATTAGTTTACAGAAGGATACATTTCATGTAAGTTGTTTGTTGACATGAAAATAAGTGAGGTTGTTGACTTGCTGGCCAAGCTGACTTGTTTTCATTCAGACGTTTTGTAACCATGCTAGGTAACATCATCAGTGAGGCCTCCGATGATGCGATGTTGTTCTGCTCCGCTTGGAATTCATACTGTCCAGTCTGTTATGGTGAGTTATGTCATTTCCGGTTCTGTTCCCAATTCTATGCACAGGAATTCCTAGAGGAATGGTTCTCAACCCATAATGCAATCAGCAAACATATAGAATTAGACCCCATATACAAACCCATACGGAACAGAACCGGAAATGAGACACAACTCACCATAACAGACTGGGCAGTATAAATTCCAAACGGAGCAGAACAACATCGCTTCATCGGAGGCCTCATTGATGATGTTACCTAACATGGTGATGAAATGTCTGAATAAAAATAAGCCAGCTGGGTGAGCAAGTCAACAACCTCACCCACAACCCGAGCTACAAATCTTTGCAAAAACCTTAAATGAAAATAAGTGCAATTCTTGAGAAATTATTCTTCAGTTTAGCGATTCAATCCTTTTTCACTATCTCACTGGATAACAATGAAGTTAATGGTTCTGTTTTAATGGCAGAGGGTGGTGTGTGTATGGAACGAGCTGCCAGAGGAAGTGGTGGAGGCAGATACAATTACAATATATAAAAGACATCAGATGGGTATATGAATAGGAAGAGTTTAGAGGGATATGTGCCAAATACTGGCCAATGGGACAGGATCAACATGAGTCAAACTTTCCTAATAAAGGTATGATGCCAGAAATGCTTACCCCAACTCCAAGATGATTGGTGCGAGTGAATGTACTGTTTTCTCCTGTTGCCACTGAAATAACTGCACAGAAGCTGGTATCCCGTTACCAAGTCACCCTTCATGTACTTGTGCACAGTACACTGCCTATGGCCACGACCAAGGAATTCTAAATCCTCTGTTAATATTGGTCAGCCAGGTCCTACTGATTGACCCAGGTTAAGAACCCGAATCAAGGACCTCAGTCACCAAGGCCCACCTGGTTCCAATCACTACGCTTTTGAACCCAATAAACTTCTGAATAAACATAAACACATTAAGACAATATTAAAAAATCATAAGAATGCATATACCTTTAATAGAGTAATCTTCAGGAAAGCAAGAAGAGAAACAATTATATTCCACAGAATGTACCGTATGCTATGGTGCTGGGGCTGACCTTGCGAGTACATTGATCTGCAGGTAACGCATTAGATGACAAGGACTGAGTGTACAGCATCATGCCCATGTGCCAAGTCAAGCTCCCTGCAAACTCAAAATTAGCCCTTAAAAGGGCTGGCACAGTGGCTCAGTGGTTAGCACTGCTGCCGCACAGCACCAGGGATCCAGGTTTGTGTGGAGTTTGCACATTCTGCCCGTGTCTGCGTGGGTTTCTTTGGATGATCCGGTTTCCTCCCACAGTCCAAAGCTGGGCAGGTTAGATGGATTGGCCATGCTAAATTGCCCAGTGTCCAGGGATGAGTAGGTTAGGTGGATTACCCATGGAAAATGCAGGGTGACAGGGATAGGGTACGGGGTGGGTCTGGTTTGGATGCTTTTTGAAGGGTTGGCGTGGACTCAATGGGCCGAATGGCCTGCTCCCACACTGTGGGGATTCTGTGATTTTTAAAAGTATTGCATGTAGGGTCAGGCCATATATGCCAGAATGATTCTGGCTCACTAGCTGATCTCGATAAAAGTAGCAGTTGGTTCGACTTCCATTCCCGATTGACTGTGCCATTATGTGAAACACTAAAGATTCAACTGTTATAGCTAATTTTGTCCTCACTCTACCAAGCTCATCATCCAGGTTCACATGTGATACACAGTTACATGAACAAAGATCTAAAGGACTAGTGGCATCTCTAGTACTGTATCCTAGAAGGAATCATCACCTTCATGGACAAGAGGTTAAAAGGAGATCCATAGTGTGCAAAAAAAAGTGAATAATTTTGTTCTAATGTTGTCTTAAAGTGCTTTCATAATTTCTTGATTGATGAGTTTATGGAATGCGACAAACTGTTAAATCATTTTTTTTCTTTATCTTTACACGCAGTTTGGAATCTGGGTTGGCCAGCTGGGTGATGGAAGAGCTCATTTGCTTGGGGCATATACAAACAGGTAAACAAAAGCATTTTTAGGGAGATTTGAACTGAATGGCTTGAATCGAATTTGTTTACAGAATCACAGAATTGTTACATTACACAAGAAGGCCATATTCATCTATTGTGTCAGCACTGGCTTTCTGAGCCTTTTAACATTGCCAGATGCCTGCCTTTTCTCTATAAACCTGCATATTTTCTACTTAAATAATCATCCACAATGCCCTTCCAGGCAGTGGATTCCAAACTCAGAAGACTTACTGTATGAAAAGATTTTTTTTTCTCATTTCGCATTTCCTTCCTTTGCAAAACAGTTTAAAACTGTAACCTCTAGCTCTCGATCCTTGTATGAGTGGGAACAGTTTATCCATATCTATTCTGTTCAGACCCCTTATGGTTTTGAAAGCTTCTAACAAATCTCCTTTCAGCCTTTACCTGCCTAGGAACAGATCTGATTTCTCCAATCTAACCTCATAACTAAAGTATCTTACCTCTGGAACAATTCTTGTAAACGTGTTCAGAAAAGAAATTGTGGAAGAAGTTAGGAAATCAGCAAAGTAGACGTTACTACTGACTAAATCCATGAATGCAGTGTGTTTAAGATCCTGAACCACACTATCCAGAAGACTCCAGTTTAGATCTCTGGTTGTTGCTTGGTTGGCTGATCTCATTGAATAGCAGTAAAGGTTTAAGCAGTCTTATTTTAGGAATAGGGAAAATCAGTTCAAGGTGCCCATTTCTAATCACTAACGAATGGATTCTATTGAAAAAATATACTCATTAACTGAGCTCGATAATGAATAAGACTGTTTTGGCTTCCATGGTACAACAATGTTCAATCATTCATTTGAGTTCCAACAAGAAGACTAATTATGAAATTGCATCCCAGCAAGAACTAGTGCCGAGAGGTAAGGGAATCTTAAGGGAAATTTGCAAAAACATAATGGGCAGAACTTCTGGGCCCACCAAGAACCTTTGGTGGGTGTACATGGGAATTTAATTGAATGAGAGGCAAAAATTCAGTTTCCTGACTGTAGATTAAAGTTTTACAATTAAGTTGTCAGAATTTTATAAGTCAATTGGCTAGTCTGAGCTTCATGATCAGAAACTTATTTGCATTCACTAGCATTCACGAATACTAATTAATACCCCAGCATGCTGGAATTATGTTCACCAGCACAATCTTGTTAGCTAAAAATGGGAGATGTATCCACAAACCTGACTATACATACGAGGTAAGCACCTGAGGGGGTGAACTTGTTCCTTCAAACTCCAGTGAGTAAACTCCTTTCATTACTTGGCTGCTTCATTACCAAGCTATTTCTTTATGTAAATACTTACAGTGTAAGCCTCTGAGTCAACTCATGAGAAGTCTTGGTCATCTGCAGTCTTGTTTATAATGTGTAGTGTACTACAGTGTAATGGGTGAAACCTGTCCATGTCATCCAGCTCCTAAGAAGTCTCAGGCATGTGCCGTTTTGCTCATTGTAGTTCATTGCTCACAATGTAAGGGATAAAGGCTGATTGGGCTCACTAGCCTGCCCAAGCAAGGCACCAGCCTGATCAGGGCTGGCAAGCAAGGCTCAAATGAAAAGGTTGCTCAACAGAAAAAGGGTTCAATGGATCATGTTCATAGACAAGGTGAGCTGAGTGGAAAGGAATTAAACTTGTCAGGGACACTGGAAAGATTTGGAAGATGGTAGGAGCAAATAGATGAGAGAGTCACAGTGATAGGTTCAAGAGAGACAAGGGAGAGGGGGAGCTGTATGTTAAGGGTGAGGAATACATTTGGCTGTGCAGGAGCCATAATTGAGGTGATGATTGGTCTGAGGTGATGTTTGCTGGACTCTGCACAGTCTGACTCTTTGACAGATTGAGAACTTAGAAAACGGATGTTAAATCAGCTGCAGATGAGGAAGAAGGGTAGCCTGATGCTGAGGGAGTCAGTGCTGATGACAAGGGTGCTGAGGAAGCCAGAGCAGTAGTGAGATGAGGTATACAGGCTGGAAGAATCTGATAGCAGCTAGTTTTGAGGATAAATTACTTTGCATTAATATATGTAAATACTGAGAACTATGAGTCAGTTGTGGCTCAGAAGTATTCCTGTCTTCAAGACAATGATTAGATTATAACTTTAAATCATCAAGGTGCTTTGTTTAGAGTAAATTGTAAATTAATTCATCTTGTACAGTTGATGCAAATCAATAAAGCATTATATGATGTGTGCCTGAGATACATGTGAGGCATTCATCTCAAAGCCATGTTTGGCAATGGTGTCCTTTTCAAACATAAAACTTTGCTGATAAACTATCAAATGTGCATGTTCTAATTATGGTGAAAGATCAGTGGGCTGATAGTACATGAATGTTTGAAGTGTGAACCCTGGAACATGTGTAAAAGTCCGTATCACTGATGCAAGTAGTGCTAAATTGGCAGCTGCAATAAAGCGACAGACCTCTGCAGCAGAGATAGTAGGAACTGCAGATGCTGGAAAATCTGAGATACCAAGGTGTAGAGCTGGATGAACACAGCAGGCCAAGCAGCATCATAGGAGCAGGAAGGCTGACGTTTCGGGCCTAGACCCTTCATCAGAAATGGGGGAGGGGAAGGGGGTTCTGAAATAAATAGGGAGAGAGGGGGAGGCGGATAGAAGATGGATAGAGGAGAAGATAGATGGAGAGGAAATAGACAGGCCAATGGGGATGGAGCCAGTAAAGGTGAGTGTAGGTGGGGAGGTAGGGAGGAGATAGGTCAGTCCAGGGAGGACGGACAGGTCAAGGGGGCGGGATGAGGTTAGTAGGTAGGAAATGGGGGTGCGGCTTGAGGTGGGAGGAGGGGATAGGTGAGAGGAAGAACAGGTTAGGGAGGCGGGGACGAGCAGGTAGGTGGAGGGGAGATTTTGAAGCTTGTGAAATCCACATTGATACCATTGGGCTGCAGGGTTCCCAAGCGGAATATGAGTTGCTGTTCCTGCAACCTTCGGGTGGCATCGTTGTGGCACTGCAGGAGGCCCAGGATGGACATGTCGTCTGAGGAATGGGAGGGGGAGTTGAAATGGTTCGAGACTGGGAGGTGCAGTTGTTTATTGCGAACCGAGCGTAGGTGTTCTGCAAAGCGGTCCACAAGCCTCCGCTTGGTTTCCCCGATGTAGAGGAGGCCACAACGGGTACAGCGGATGCAGTATACCACATTAGCAGATGTGCAGGTGAACATCTGCTTGACGTGGAAGGTCTTCTTGGGG